TGTTTATGTGTCAAAGAATGTACGATGTGTTAATCCTTGAATTTTAGATATTCATGTTACCTAGTTTCATATGATCTTTCGATCAAAATTTGCAAAGCTAATTTTCAGTATTTTCTTAAGTCCTTCAGGTGACGAGATCATTAAACAGGCAGAATTATGTTTACAAAGTGGACATTATTCCACTGCTTTAGATCTGATTGCTGGGGCATCTTCTAATTTGAATGTACCCATCAGTTTGAAAATAATCAAAGGTAAAGCGTTATTGGAACTAAATGAGTATCAAGAAGCACGAAAGATAGCAATGTAAGAACATTTATTAGGTCATACAAACTTAATAAGTTGGTTCTCATAACCCGGCCGGGTTAAATTTTACAAAGCTTTACAACTGTTATCATTATTCCTGGGATACCTTATGAAAATTAACCGAATGATTATTCTGCCGATTCGATAAATTATTATATGTTTATTATTTACGAAGATAGTCTAAAGCCTGGTACGTACGAAGGTGCTAATCGATTTGTAAATTAAAACTCACATGAAACTACAAGGCTTCAAACGATCTCTACTTTCACGTCCTAACTAAAGTTTCATTTCTAATTATAACTCATACAAATATCAGTTAGGCTTTTCTTCCATTAAAGTCTTAAGATATTTTATATCATTCAGGTTTAATAGACATGATTTTCTTACGAGTGTGGAAGTCTTTCAACGCATCCATATCTTTGAAATTGGTTGAAAACTCGACTTATTGAAGTTCTGCGAACACCTAAGTGTTTAGCAGTTGTTCGAATTTATAACCTTTCTAAATTTTTTTCGATACTTTCCAGTGAATATGCTCCTAAAGTATAATACTTAACTAGATATTGGTTATCTGGTCATTATCGATATTAATAATTGTCACTGCTGCACCATAAATAGAGGTCATTTAAAGCCTTACAAATCGATTAGCATCTACGTACGTACGTACCTGGCTTTAGACTATCTTTGTAAATAATAAACGTTACATTGATCATGCCGAAATCAATAACTTATCGAGTCGACAGAATAATCATTCGGTTAATTTTTCACAAGGTGTCCCAGGAATAATGGTAACAGCTGTAAAAAAATTTTTATAAAAAAAAAAATTTTTATATTTACTATTCGGGTGTGCTTTTTTAGAAATCTATAAAAATTTTTCATATATTAAATTTTTGAAAATAAAAGCCGGGTTGTCGGGTCATTTTTTAAAATTTAATGTTATGAGAACGACGATACCAGGACGTCCTCTACAAAGTTCGGGTGTACCACTGCCGTAGTATCTAACATTTGTAATGCTCACTAACAAAATTTGACCTTTTAGGCTATAATGATTATAATCACGAAGTGTCGTTTTGTTATCAAAATCTCATTTATCACGTGTCTCAAATTTTCACTTCAGTTTGAAGTGAAGGTTCGGGTTACTAGATGCTGCGGCAGTAGCGCACCCGAACTTCAGGGGGGGCGCCCTGGTGTCGTTTTATGAGAACGAAACATTAAGGCTTATAATAATCATAATAGGAAATATGAAATACTTAATACACGGAATATCCTCCCGAATGAATGAATAACGATAAATCTTTGTTTAAACTCAGTGATATATTGCGTGATGATCCGCGAAATCCAGATGCACATGTTTTAAGAGCCCATACGTTTTATGTAGAAGGAGATAATCAAGAGGCCGCCGCTCATTGCTTGGAAGCATTGCGTTATGATCCCACTCATTCAAAAGCAAATACTTTATTAGAGGTAAGATTCAAGCCATGAAAGCATCAATAAGGTTTTTTTTATTCATATGCTTTATATTTTATCTTAAAGAAAGTGCAGTTAATCGAGTCACGAATAAATGCTGGTGACGAAGCTTTCAAAAAGAAAGATTATATGACAGCATATGAGATTTATACTCATGCACTTACGATTGATCCAGAAAACAAACCCACAAATTTCAAACTCTACTTGAAACGGTCTGACGTTTTAGAAAAACTGAGCAATCTTTCAGAATCGATAAAAGACATGGATAAAGCATTAGAGTTAAATCCCATGGTTGTCAAGATTTTAAAACGACGAGCTGATAGATATATGATGTTAAAAAATAATAGTGAAGCTATACATGATCTAAATGCAGCTTTAAGAATCGATAGTACCGACCAAGAAGTTCGTGGGAAATTGGATAATGAAAAGCAAGAACAAACTAATCATGAAATTGGACGCGAATTCGAAAAAAAAATTGCAAGAGAATTGGATAATAATAAGATTTTATCGAATATTGTTGGGAAAAAAAATGATCATGGAATTGATATTTTTGCATCATATAAACAAAAATTGATTGTAAGAGCCAAATGAGATCGTTGGATAAAGAAACTATTGCCAAGACGTGTAATGCTATTGAAAGATTTGAAGGATGCTATGGTTTTATTGTTTATGATAGTAAGAAACTAACTCAACCTTTTGCTCATGAAACAAAAGCATATGCAGAATATCATCAATCAATTTGCCCACGATTCAACATTGTTTCAGATCTTGAAATTGTTCAACGTATTAAAGCAAACTATAGATCAAGACATTTGATATGATTGTTATACAGCCATCCCTCATTAATATCAGCCCGTTAATATCCATCTCATTAATATCAACCTAACCTATAAAACAAAATTCCCTCATATAT